GCCTGCATCAGGCCGCTGAGCGGCTGCAGCACCTCCCAGCCAAGCGCGATGCTTGCAAAGGTGATGCCGAGCGTGCGGAAGGTGTCGATGGTGCTGCGCGCCGTGGCGCTCACCAGCCGCGTCACACTCAGGCCAAACATGTTGTACAGCGCGATGCTCGACGCACACAGCACCGAGCCCCACATGACGCGCGGCACGCCCACGAGCTGGTGCCAGCCGGTGACCATGTCAAAGTAGCCGCCGCGCCCGGCGGGCGTCGAGCCGATAAAGAAATGCAGCACTGGCATCATCATAAGCACCAGCAGCGAGCCAAACAGGCCCTCGAGGCCGACAGCGAGCATCGGCTGCACCTCGTGGTCGCCCATGACCTTCTCCTCGTAGACAAACTGCAGCGCCGCAAAGATCTGCGCCGAGAGCACCATGGCGAGGCCCAGCAGCGCGTTGATCGCCGCCTGCGCGTCGGTGGTGCGCGTCATCACCAGCACGACCGACGCCGTGGGGTTCACCAGCACACTGCTCAGCCCGACAATCGCCACGCCGAGCATCACGAGCACGAGGCTCACCCACTCGTACAGCCGCAGGCGGTGGTGCAGGAACATGACACTGAACAGGCCCACCCACAGCACCAGCGCACCGCGCGTCATCTGGAAGATACTCACGGGCATGATGATCAGCGCCGAGTTCATCAGCGTCGTCGCACAAATGTCGCACAGCGCCGGCACCACAAACAGCACGGCCAGGTTCCACCACTTGTTCAGCCGGCGGCGCACATGCACCGCCGTCATCCCGTCGCCGACGTCGATCGGCAGCAGGCCGCCAAACAGGTTCGGTACATTCACACGCAGGAACGACGCGTGCACACTGCCGTACGGCGCCACCTCCGAGTCGTCGTTCACCGAAATCAGCGACTGGTTCTCGCCGCCGGCCTGACGCGCCTTCTCGCGCTGCCAGCGCCGCCACTTCTTGCGGGCGACATGCGCAAAGAACGGAACAAGACAGCACAGCTCACCCACAAACATCTGCAGCGTCTGCCACACGGGCTGCGAGTACTTCACCGGCTTACCCGGGCTGTCCGGCTCGCAGTTTTCCACACACTGCATATCTTGCCTGCGTCAGCCGCGCAACGACGCACCATTTCGACACAAGCGAGTTCAGAATGCCCGTGATGAGCATGCCCAGCACCAAGAGACCCGTACTGGCCGACATTCCACGCGCCATTGTGAACGGCGTGGTAGACGGGAGGGAACCGGCGCGGAAAAACGGACGTACACGCTGCTGACCAATTTCCCTCCGCGGCGCCCTCGCGCGCCGCAAACGAGCGGCGGCGCCGGCGCCAAAGTGTCACGTGGGCACACACGCCGCGCTCTTGCTGCCATGGTCGTCCTGGCGTACGACGCGGCGCCGAACGCGCCGCAGGCGCCCCTCCCGACGTTCTCGAGCGCCCCCTTCTTCTTCGACCGGTGCCCAACCACGCCTGATGGCGCGCCGGAGCTTGCAAAAGGCGCCCTGCTCGCCGACGCGAAACATACCCAGCCGCACTCGAACCCACGCGTGTCGTACTACTTTGCAGTCGGCGTCAGCGACTACGTACGTTTGCCCCACTCACACCGCAGCACTATGGAGAGCGCCATCCGATGAAACCTGCGCGACTCGCGCTCACCAACCGCCTCGTGTACGGCTACGGCCTGCACAAGTACATGAGCGTCTACTCTCCACGCTGGGCATCGCGCGAGGAACTCGAGGCGTTCCACGATAGCGACTACGTCGACTTCCTCAGCACCGTCACACCCTCGTCTCCCTTGTCAGCCGACTTTACGCGCTTCAACTTCGCCGACGACTGCCCGGTGTTCGACGGAATGTACGATTTCTGCCGTGCGTACGCCGGCGGCTCTCTCGCGGCCGCACGCCGGCTCGCTGCGGGCACGACCGACATTGCCATTAACTGGACGGGCGGACTGCACCATGCGAAAAAGTTCGAGGCGAGTGGCTTCTGCTACATCAACGACATCGTCCTGGCGATTCTTGAGCTGCTCCGCACCTTCCCACGGGTGTTGTACATCGACATCGACATCCACCACGGCGACGGTGTGCAAGAGGCCTTTTACAACTCCAACCGCGTTATGACTGTGTCGTTCCACAAGTACGGTAACGACTTTTTCCCGTGCACGGGCGACATCTCCGAGACCGGCGTCGGACTTGGGAAGCACTTCTGCCTCAACGTCCCGCTGCAGGACGGAATCGACGACAGCACCTACGTGTCGCTCTTCAAGAGCATCATTGAGCCGTGTATCTACACGTTCCGGCCCGGCGCCATCGTGCTCCAGTGCGGCGCGGACTCGCTGGGGCTCGACCGCCTGGGGTGCTTCAACCTGAGCATTTCAGGACACGGCGAGTGCGTCGCCTTTACCAAAGCATTTGGCATCCCGCTCCTTGTGTTGGGCGGTGGTGGGTATACGATTCGTAACGTCGCGCGGTGCTGGACATACGAGACGTCGGTGCTTACGGGCACCCAGGTGCCCGACGACCTGCCCCATACGCCCTACGACGCCTTCTTCGCACCGACGCATCGGCTGCACGAGCCGCTGCTCACGCGCGTCGAGAACCAAAACGCGCGCGCGAACCTCGAGCGAATCCGCGTGCAGATCTTGGAGCAGCTACGCTACCTACACGGCGCACCCAGTGTGCAAATGGACGAGCTGCCGCCCGACCTCGGTGGCGGGTGGGTCGACGAGCCCATCACCGAGGACGAAAAGTGATCTCCGCCCCTTCTGTATTTGTAGACAAGCGATGCCACTTGTACCATAGCCCCTTCCTGCTGCTGCTGGCACGACGCTGCTTCGTACCATCCGCCATTGCGTCGTCTGCTCTGCTCCCACCCACTGCCCGTGATTGGCCTGTTGCGCGCGGTAAGGGAGCGCCGGGTGTGTGGTGAGGCACGTGGAATTCATTTAAGCTGCAGATTTTTTTGGCGGGTGGGTGGCACAATCTGCACACTTTATGCAGAGTGCGCAGCTGCTTCGCGACCCAGACGACCGGATGACACGCGAACACGCTCCGGTGTCCGGAATTGCGCGGACGCACGCTGGCCTTAAAAAAAGGGCAGGAGCCGCATCTACGCGGTTTCCATCGCTCCGTTGACCACGAAATGCAGCTCCGTCTGGTGTTTCCTGCACTAGTCAGTGCGACCACAGTCGTGGTGTCTGCGTCGCTCTTGCATGTCGTCCCCGGCGAGCCCGAAGCCGTCGCGACGCAGCAGCATCGCCGGCTTCTCCGCCGCGCTGGGTCCACCACGAACGAAGCCCAGTTTGCACAAATTTCGGACGCGACCCAGGCGTGCGCGAATGCGAACGCCGAGGGGATGAACCAGCTGTTGAAGCAGAACGTGTTCCCCAAGGCGGACAAGATTGCGTGGATCCAGAACGGCGACAACGAGGCGCAGCAGGTGTGGCAGGACATTCAAAACTCCAACATCATTCCCTCCGATGTGCAGGTGAAGCAGGACAACACGGGCGGCCAACGTACGTGTCACCCTTCGACTGACTCCAGACTACGGCGTGGACGACTCGTCGTACAATTCGGACAGCGACCCCGACTGCTGGTGGACCGCGTCGGGCTGCAAGAAGCCCAAGCACGGCAACATCCCCCAGGATCTGTATCAATGCCCAGAGCCCAACACGTGGGGCCTGACCTTTGACGACGGACCAAACTGCTCGCACAATGCCTTCTACGACTTCCTGCAGCAGAATAACCTCAAGGCTACCATGTTCTACATTGGGTCCAATGTCGTCAACTGGCCGCTCCAGGCGCAGCGTGGGATTGTCGACGGCCACGACATCTGTGTGCACACGTGGTCGCACCGCTACATGACGACGCTCTCGAATGAGCAGGTGTTTGCCGAGCTGTATTACACCGCCAAGGCTATCAAGATCGCCACTGGTGTCACACCTACGTGTTGGCGTCCTCCTTTCGGCGATACGGACGACCGCGTGCGTGCGATTGCTGCAGGCCTCGGGCTGCGCACCGTCCTGTGGGAGGAGGACACGGACGATTGGAACATTACCCCGTCGGGCGACCAACCCACGCAGAAGATTGACCAGAATTACCAGAAGATCTTTAACAAGGCCAGCAGTGAAAGCCCCATCGTGCTCACGCATGAAATCGACCAGTACACTATGGGAGAGTTCCAGAAGATGTTTAGCCAGGTCAAGAACGCTTACAAGAATGTCGTGCCCGTGAGTGCGTGCCAGAACGTTACGCACCCGTACCCGGAGAACATTACATACCCTGCCTTCTCCCAGTACATTAGCGGAGACAAGGCGACGGGGCTACCGGACGGTAACTCCATTCAAGTGAATGCCAAAGCGACGTACACCCCTGTCGCCTTGTCGCAACAAAAGACTGGGTTTGCTGTGACCAACCAGTCGACTTCGACCACGAGCAAGGATACCAACAAGACCGGCAGTGGGAACGGCTCGTCCACGAGCTCGTCCACTAGCTCGTCCACTAGCTCGTCCACTAGCTCGCCCGCTAGCTCGCACGACGAGTCGGCTTCCGACTCGCAGAACAAGAACAGCAACAGCGCTCTGTCTATCTCTGCGCCGCACTTCAACGTCTCGTTGATCGCATTCCTCGTTACACTCTTTGTGATTGTTTTCCTTTCGTAAACTAGTTTGCTTAAAACAATGCCCTAGTTGTACAGAGCACTTATTTTGCCATATTGGTAACTCAAAAACTGATCTCAGGGCCCTAAGATAAAAAATTGACAGTGTCAACTACTGAGCTTATACGCCCAAAATGTGTAGAGTCCTGTCCAAAAAGGAAAAAAATATTGAGGTCCTGCGCGGAGTCGAACCGCGGCTTAAGGAATTCGTGATCTGCTCGATCGCATAATCAGAAACCTTCGGACTAACCGTTATCCTACAGGACCTTCAAGCCGAGGAAGTATGCCCGTTTTGCACTATACATTCTGCCAGACCAAGTGAACAGTGTTAAAAAAAGGAAGGTCCTGCGCGGAGTCGAACCGCGGCTTAAGGAATTCGTGATCTGCTCGATCGCACAATCAGAAACCTTCGGACTAACCGTTATCCTACAGGACCTTTCTGATGCGTTTGGGGCAGCCCTGAAGGGTTATGAGGCACAGCGACCACGGAGGCTGGACGACCCTGTAGAGTTTGCCCGTGCATCCAACACCATCACGGCGGCCATGGAGCACGGTGCATCTGTACCATCAAAAGGGGTAGCGCCCTTGGATCTGACTATGCAACATTCTCCTTCAATAGCGGAGGGGGCAGACATGGATCCGCGTTCGTCCTCAACATTGTCGAACCGGTCCCGGCTCAGCTTGACCGAGGCATTCGAACGCATCCGCGCAGAAGAGGCCGAGCATTCCATGCGAGATGGGGAAGAGCAGAAACTACGGAAAGAGCGTTGGGAGGAAGGGCGCAAGTCACTAGCAAGAGCTCTACGAAGACGTATGCGCGATCAAGCAGAATTCACCCCACACGAGCAGGAGGCCGAATCTGACCTGCAGGCAGAGCTGCAGTCATCATATTCGGAAGCGGCCAATGTAATGCAAAGCACATCTCCGCCTTATTCGCCGCCGCATAGGCTGCAGCAGAAAGCTGGTTCGGCCTTGGATAGGCCCATGGGTGCGACACAAGCAGCCCAACCCGAGCATACCATCCCGTCCAGTGCCACACTAGACTCCACGGACGCCAAAGACGCGAATCAGTCTGTCGATGCAAGAGAACTACGCAAAATGCTTCATCTGGTCAAAGACGTGCTCAAGCAAACATCCATGGAACGCAAAGACCAAGTATCGTTGCTCAGTGCTTTGCATTCCGACACCGACACGTTCCATCTCCTCGATGATCCCTCTCAAGCAACAACAGCTTCCAAGGAGCTGGCCGATGCTCTGTCAATGGAGTTTCGTATGGAGAAGATTTCTTTGGAAGATGCGCAATATGCCAGCCGTCTTGATGCCATTCGAAAACGGCTCGGGGCACTGGCCACGGAAGTGATGCAAGAAGAGCCAACCCCCGATCAAACCAAGAAACACACAGCCAGAGAGCCTGATGTGCATCCTATGCATGCATCGTCGTCCCCATGGCCTCATTATTATACCCTGGTGATCCGCGTGGCAGCCTGTCTCCTTGTACTGGTGATTGTGGGGTTCCGATTCCTGCGCTTATATGCGGACTACATGGCAACGTATACCTATTATGACCCTTTCTATCCCTTCCTCTTCCCTGCACCTTCGCTCATGCTTGCGTACCTACCCGCCGACGTGTACTATAATGTGCCATTTACGACAACCTCCAAGGAAGCCATCGCAGAATTTATTGCGCCGTTGGACGCCATCTGGGCAGAATAACCGCACGTCACCCAAATCAAGGCGGTGCCCACAGCGCACAACGACCAGACCCGTTCCCCGTTGCGACGCGTGCCGGAAGGATTGGGTGCATGGCAATCACTGCAGGAATGGCGGTGATCCATTCAGGATCGTACAGAGATACCAGCAAACGGCCGTCCTTGCCATAGATCTCGGCATGTCGCGTCATACCCCCAATAGAAAAATGCGGTTCCAACGATGGGTTGCTGTGCCAAAGGGCTCGGAACAGCGTGACCCATTTCCCTGTTTGATTGTTGTGCCGGAGTGTACGGGGTTGAGTCAAGAGGTTGTCCGGCCGATTGCTGAGCGGCGGAGGGCTTTCCGTTTTGAGCCAGTCGGTCAGCTTCCCGGTCTTGGATGCGCGTGGGCGATTCAATGTCTTGGACTGTGAAGTAGACTGGTTGGATAACCACGCTGGCTCAAGATCCCAGAGACTGAGGGTATCATCGTAGCAAACACCGGCAAGATGCCGGCCATTGGGACTGAAACTGATGCTCGTGCACGCCATCTTTCTTGTAATTGAGCCCAATTGCGCTTTCTCGTAGAGCTTTTCCATTTGGTCCAAGTCGTCCTGGCTTGGCTTGAGCAGGAATTCTTCGGTTTCAGGGAATGTCCTGAGCATGCGTAGATCAAAAAGACGCATGGTTCGGTCGTTTGATGCAGTCGCAATGCAGTGTGGTATCGCTGGGTTTACAGACATGCCTCCAATCTAGGTAAGCGAAGAGACGCACCTTTTTGTCACAAACTTGCCAGCGTTGAACCATGCACTTGCTGGAGCGGACATCGAGATGGAGCAAGCCCCCCCGATGGTCCGCTAGCCACAAGCTCCGTTCCGATAATTGGGGGGACGGCGTCGCGGTCGCCTCAGCCGCCTGCGTCTGTGGCGCCAAGATGTCCATTTCGCCGAGCTGCACATCGGGAGGTGCGGCATAAACTTCCGTACTCTTTCCAGAAGACAAGGAGAAGGTGCGTACGCTTGCATCGTATGAACTTGTGTAGAGACGGTCGTCATTAGCTGGATCCATTCGGAGACATCCAATGGCTGATTTGGCATGAATGCGGAGTGAAAAGGCAGAACCACTTGGCATGGTCTCTTCTTCACCGTCTTGCTGTGCTGGTGTGTCCAAGGCATTCCATACGCCTAGAACGCCTTCCTGGTCTCCGGTAAAGATCAGGTCTTTTTCTGTAGAGGGATGATACAGCATGCTGTAAATCCGTTTCTGCGCCACGCGAGCATGACTGCGAAGAAGCATGGTGTTGAGCAGCGACTCGAGCTCGGATGGCTCGGATGGCTTCGGTTCAGGTTTCGCATCCACGGTCGCGACATTCAGCGCTGTCTTTAGGCGTCCGAGCTCTTCCTCATCCAAAGAATCTTCAGTAAGCTGCTTGAGGTCCAAGTCTTCGTGACGCGCCATGCGCAGCGACCGCTCGTGCTCGCGCTCGGATTCGATTTTGACCTGAGTGAGTCCACGACGACGTACTGCATATGTGTCCGAGCCAACATCTTCCGGCTTTGCGCCTTGGAGGCGGGCGCTTGTCCTCTTAGGCTGCACGCGTGTAGGCTTCTCCTCTGTCTGTGCTCGCTTTCGTTGGCGCCGGGCCGCGTCGTTGGCGACACGTTTCTGCGGGACAATACCAAAAACCGAGCTTCCTCCCCCAGCAATCCCTAGCTCTTGCAAGAGTCTCTCATTCTCGGCAATATTTGCCAAGCGCTCCTTCTCACTGATAGTTAATATCCGAGAGACCCCTACGGGTGGGTACGCACTATGCGGAGTCCATGCTCGCACGGTCGAATGCGCGGTTCTACGCGGTACGCGTCGCGCACGTCTTAGCTAAGCATCTTGTGGTGCTATATTTGGGTGCTTGCGCCAAGATCTCAGATCTATGCGGCAAAACCTTCCAGATGGAAAAATGAGAAAATATTGCTGTAGCATGCTTGACTAGGGTTACTTGCGCCTTACTCTGCCCCTGCCCACCAAGGCAATTACATCATTGTTTGGAAACCTGCGCGGTGCGCAGTGACTCTTTTGGTAGTATGAAACGTTCTAGTATGAACTATCATCAGGTGGGTATATGTATTTTTTGAGTTCCTTTTTTAAGGCCAAGTCACCTTGGCCTATAGGGTCGACATAGCGAGAGATCCAAGTGATCGTTGTAGCTGAGCCGCCATTGGGAGGACCGGTGGATAGGTGATTCGAGTTCCTTCGTAGAAACAAAACTCTTTGCCGTGTTACAGTGTCCTTACACTCTCCCCGACGCTGACGTCTGCAACTTCCGCAAGAGACGGGTAGATGCAGACTCCGGCGCAGATGTGCGGGTCGTACGATGCGAGGTGCGCCCGCGCGACGCCAAAGCCTCCTCGGCAGGCAATTCGCTGTGGAAACGCGAGTTGGCCTGCGCAAACAGAGGGCTTTTGGATGAAACTGTGCTCACATCATGGAGTTTTGCTTGAGACAGCGACTCTTTGCAATCGCATAGCCCGCTGTTCTCGCTGTAGGAGCGATTAGGAGAAAAGTTCGAATCCACCTTGGGTTTGTTAAGACCAGTGTTCCATGCGCTTGTGCCGTGCAACTTGCCTTGGTGGCCCCCTTCGGGCTTCTGCGCGCAAGAAAGCGAGCAGGGCCGCGACGACGTAGGCAGCTCCTTGTGCATGCTGCATGGCTTGCACTGGCCGGGCGAATCAGCTGTAAAGTAATCACTTGTGTTCTCCGAAGATCGCGACTTGCTCACAGGTCCCGTCGACTTGTGACAGCACGGCGGCATACCTGCCGTAAACAACACAGGCATTGGAAGATTTGTAGAGCCCGGGAGACGGTTGAACTGCATATGAAGCATAGAACCGGACGGATTGTGTGTCAGGGGGTGTATCGTCGGCGACGTCCGCGTGCGGTGTAGCGCGGAGAGCGACGACGAAGACTTGAATGAGGACGTGCTCGGGTGCGTCACGCCTTTACGCAACAACACCTGGTTCGAGGGGCACATGGCCGGCGGAAGTTGCAGATCAGGATCGTCCAGTTTGGCGAACTCTTGTTCTTCTTCCAGATCGATGCCAGACTGCCATGGGGATGGCGTGGTCAAATCTGTCTCCACGAAGTCCGAGTTGGAAGACGTGCTCGATCGCGACCCCTGTCGTGTATGGGAGCGGTACTGGCCGTCACGTTCGAGCTCGTCCTCGTGGCTAGACACCGAAGAGCCAGAATTTTGCCGTTGCAATGAAAAGGTGGCCTTGAACGACTTGCTCTTCAGCCGTGCAGGGAAGCTCGCGCTCTGCTGTGCAGAAGGCGAGAGTGTCATGGGGTATCTGAGCTTGGAGAGACTCTCCGTAGCTCCTGGTTCCTCCGCGATAGTCTTCCCGTACTTCTTGGTTCCGTCTTGGGCATCTGCATCGCGGCACTTGCGGGAGCAGTAGAGCTTGCCGTGGGGAGCAAGACCGCCACAGTGTGTGCAAATATCGTCGGCGATCCAGGAGGACTGGTCTTCGTCCGAGTCTGCCGCGCCGCGCCTGAGGTAGCTAGCCACGGGCCGTGCGCGACTGCGGCTCCGCGACACAGGGGATGAGGAGCGCGATGTCGACATCAGCGATCCCTTTTTTGCAAGTGAGAAGTAGCGCCAGCGAAAAAGAAACTTGTCTTCGCAGGTCGCCAGATCTCCTGGCGAAGATGAGTCAGAGGGGAGGGTACGAAGAAAATGAAAAGAAACCGCGAC